CAAACATGTTATCCTCTACCAGCCTACTTAACAGCTAACAGCCTTCATTCCTCTTGAGTTTTTCTGTTTTAATCAAAATCTCTTACAAAATATATTGTTTGCAGTTCTCAAAGAGACACAAACCACAAACTAGAAAGGCCGACATTTGCTTGAGAGCAAATGCAGCAGATGGCTTCACCACATCCCCCATACCGAAAATGGATCTATCCTACGATGGCTGCCAATAGTCTACACCCCCATGCAGCAATGGAACCTTCCAATGCCGGAAATAGCCAAAAAGCCCTATTTTACATAACTTTAAAGTGGTGTATGTCAAAATCGTGAATGACATTCTTTGAACATCTGTTCAAGGTATCCCCATACCAAATTTCAGGTCATTCGGATTTAATATTAGGGCATAGGAGCCAAAAATGTACATTTTTGGTCCGAAAATAGCAAAAAAGCCCTATTTTACACAATTTTAAAGTAGTATATGTCAAAAGCGTTAATGGTATTCTTTGGACATGTGTCCAAGGTATCCACATACGGAATTTCAGGTCATTCAGATTTAATATTAGGGCACAGGAGACCAAAAATGTACATTTTTTGGTCCGAAAATAGCCAAAAAGCCTTATTTTTCCCAATTTTATAGTGGTATATGTCAAAAGTTTGAATGACTTTTTGTAGACATATGTCCAAGGTATCCCCATACCAAATTTCAGGTCATTTGGTTTTAGTACCTGGGAGCCAGATCTCAAAATGTATATTTTTTGCCTGAAAATGGCCAAAAAAACCAAATAAAACAATTTTTCAAAAAAATGAAAAAAACTCGTCAGGGTATTTGCCCACTCTACCTTCATGCCAAATTTCGTGTTATTTGGCCTGAAAATGGCAGAGATGAATCCATTTAAAGAAATGGCAGGAGAAGGAGGAGAAGGAGAAGAAACATGAGGGAACACAATATGTCTTCACCACTTTGTGGTGAAGCCATAATTATTTTAAAAATTACTCACAACATCTTACGTATCATTCTTTCTCTTACAATGCCAGTGAATGCCCCCGCTGGGTTTGTAATTTGAAAGGAGATTCTATCTTCAATAGAACAGCAGTGTTTCAAAAGCCTCCAATCTTTGATCACTATGTGCACATTTACAAAAGAGAGAAAATTTTACATAATACATTTTATTAGTCTTGATAAATCAGCGCAAAAATAAAATCAATGCCTCATGTATTATATTACCTTGTAAAAAGTGTCCAGATTGTCCAATGGTGGTTTTGGTGACAGTATGGTCAACATCTGTAGATGAGAATTCTCCATCCAATCCGAATTGTGCAGTTGGAGTTGACGGTCCGTTTGACATAAATATGGGCATCCCACTTGTCTGCTTGGTTCTTTCTGCAGTTGATAACATGAAAATTAGAACCAAATTCAATTATATCTATTTCTAGAGTTACGATACGCATATTCAACGATACCAACATTACAGCTGATATCAACAACATTACAAGCCTCAGTTGTGCAGTGCGAGTACGTCTAACCCTCGGAAGACGGGGAACAACAGACGATAAACGGGACAGTGAGTGAGTGAGACATTGGAACAGCAGTTTTCAGTGACCAAAACATCTGTAACAAGAATTCCGAGATTTCATACCTCCATGAAATATGGGCTTGATATGTAAATGTAAATTTCTTCTTTAATTATGCAAATGACCTTTGCATTAACATGATATATGCATCGTGATGTATGTTAACTTTTGATTAACTTACAGATGTCCCAAGTATGACATTCCCATCATTCACCATTAAGAAATCATAGAATTTTCGCATCAATTATGCAAATTAGGTCATCATTTACATAATTAGTATCTGTTGATGTTCCGCAGGTTACATACATTACATGTATGAAAGTAATATAATGTAAAACACTGTAATTATAGAATTCCCTCATTAATTATGCAAATAAAGTCCTCATTTGCATAGTTTGCATTTAATTATGTACATCTCTCTCTCAGCTACCTACACACCAAAAATTATGAAAATATGTTGTTCCTATCTGGACTTATTGGCTTTGAAAGTTTTTACCAGAAACTATCCTGCAGTTCCAGAACAAGCTGCTAGGGAGACCAAACTTACGCCACTTATTCCTGACAGGATAAGCTATCTGTCACTAAAAAAGTCAAGACCATAGCTTGTTTAGGACAAAAGATACAAAAACCGGAAGTTCTGCTGCAGTACCAAGGTCATCCACCAGGAGGCCCATACTTGACCATGACCTTTGTCTTTCCAAGACTTACCATCATACCAAATATCATCACAATCTATAAAGGCGTCCTGAAGTTATGCTGACTACAAAGTTGCGGAAACACACACAGACACACACACAGACAGACACACACACAGGCATACATACAGACAGACACGCCAAAAACAATACCTCCATTTTTCATGGAGGTAATAAATTGTTGATGTTAAATAGCAACATCATAGACTCCAATGCCTATAAAAAGTATACATTGCTTAATCATGGCTTCTCCAGTCTTTCAATGCTCAGGGAACTTACCGTCATCAGATGATTCCTCGTTCCTCGAAGTTGCAGGTTTGGTAGAAAGTCGGGTGGACATCCGACTTGTCCGCTGGGTCGTAGCAGCAGGCGTTGTGGTTGGTGTGGCGGCTGGCAGAGAAAAGGCTCAGGTTAACAGAATTTTTCAAAATCTTTCATGATGAGTTTTGCCAGTTACTGATAAAGACCACAATAAGAAGACATCCATAATATATCATTGATTTTTATATCATTTTTTATATTTCTTTTCTGAGGACAAATGTGGAATGATCATTACACTAAATCAACATGTTTCATCACAACGTTTAGGTTATACAAAACGTGTGCTGTGCTTGACTACAGAACAGTTCCTGTGAAAAAAATCCACCCTTTCAAAAGTACTAAGCTAAACTCTTCATCATTAAGTTAAACTTAAGAGTTCTCATTAAATGTTTTCTTGTATTATTTATCATGAACACAACAATGTCTAACTTTTTCAGTGACAGCAATGTTCTGGTATCGATAGTAAGTCGGACAAAGTCTATCTTTGGTTGCATAAACAATCAACAAAAGCTAAACTCTCCCTACCTGTGCGTGCCGGTATCACTGCCGCCTCGCTCTGTGACCTCCAACCACCTGGAGAGAACAGGGCCGTCAATCTGATGATGTAATCAGTTGCCGGTGTCAGTCCCTCCACCCGAAGCCATGTCTGACCCGTTCTCTGATTGACAGCTGTCGTCATGTCCAGCTCGGACACCACCACACGGTACCCCTGAAGGTCAGGGTCAGGGGATGGAGACCACGTGACCTTGAACCCTTCATCCGTGATGTCAGTTATGGTCAGTTCCATTGGTGGATCCACAGCTGCAAGGGACGGGATCAAAACAGGTGTTAAGAAATGTTTACTCTTAATTATATGTATAGATAGAGCACCAAATGTCATAATAACCTCATTATAACCTCATTACATTACAAAGATTACTAAATCCAGGTCCAGGTTGCAAAATTATGCAGCTGCTTCTTTTTTCTAATAAACAGAATTAAGGGATAAAGATTAATACATAATTTGTGAAAGACAATAACTGCGCATGCCACTGACGCAAACGATACCTTTATCACAAAGCTGTGTCTTCCACCCATCCAGACACCCAGCCGAGCAGACACCCGATACTGGGTCACAGTTCACGTCCCCGCCCAGGCAGTGGCCGCACTCTGTGAAACAAAGAACTCAGTATTAGCACAACAAGAGGTAATCCTATGTTCCTTTAGGCTTTAAAGATGTTCATTTCAAATGTACTAGTAGCTATTGCATTATTATTTAAAATTTTTAAAGCTGGTATCAAATTTGGGCTAACACAGAAAAGTGTTACAGTGTAGTCAGTTAGAAAAGTATACAATGCAATTTGATTTTAGAATAGGCTGCTAGTCATAATATTAATCATGACTTGATGTGGAGAAGACCTGAATAAAGTGTTCTATAATAATAGAATAAAGTTAAAGAAGAAGGCATTTGCCTATTCTTACTGTGTATATGTACGCCTGTGTTATAAACTACAATATTACAAAACAGCACATTTTACCACGACAGCCGTGGGCATCTTCCATCAGCACGAATCCCTGTTGACAGAAGCACCTGTAGCTCCCGGGGACGTTGGTGCAGATGTGGTCACACCGACCGTTCTCTATCGCACAGTTGTTAGGCTCTACAAAGACAACGGAGGCAACTTCAGGATCTGAAACACCTACAAATGTTACCTGTACAAAGTCTACAATTTAGTATTAGCATTATATTAATAATTACTTAATATTTTGTTCGGATAGAGTAGTGAAGATAAAGTTAACACATCCTTATTTTCAACGGCTTCTAGTGCAGCCCAAGATGACAAGCTTAAGTGCTGCAAATATAAAAAAAAAACAGCAGGAAGCAGCAGTGAATATGCATGCAATACGCATGGCATTCGTTGGAAGTGCGGCAAACATGCAACTGATGCGCGGAATTCATATCATATACATTTATGTATATTTGCATATTCATATACAAGTAGCTAGGGCCGAGACTTATTCCACCTCGGAGTCCTTTCTCATTTTGCAAAATATAGTTAATATAGTATGTAAATGTCTGGGCATGATCCTTCATAAATATCATTATTATAGCTTATAAATCAATCCAGCAAACTTCTACAAATGTTACTGTCACAAACATGTCCTTATTTTTGTTGCACCAGCTCATCAGAAGTATGCTGTCCTTACTTGTGGTTGCCTCTGTCGTTGTCGCGTTGCTCTGTGCCAAGCGACCATCGGACAGGACCGACACCGTCACCCTGATGATGTAATCAGTTGCCGGTGTCAGTCCCTCCACCCGAAGCCACGTCTGACCCGTTCTCTGATTGACAGCTGTCGTCATGTCCAGCTCGGACACCACCACACGGTACCCCTGAAGGTCAGGGTCAGGGACAGGAGACCACGTGACCTTGAACCCTTCATCCGTGATGTCAGTTATGGCCAGTTCCATTGGTGGATCCACAGCTGTGGAGGGCAATATTCAAGATGAGACATTCAAGATGAGAAATAGGAGCGATGCTTTCATCTGCTGATTACAATACCATCATGACTTTATTATTAAGATACATGCCCTCAAGGACAAGGTCTTCAATCAAAGCTAAATGACAAAACCACAACACACTTTCGTTGCAATGCTGTGTCTTCCACCCATCCAGACACCCAGCAGAGCAGACACCCGATACCGGTTCACAGTTCACGCCCCCGCCCTGGCAGTGGCCGCACTCTGAAACACAAACAACATGAGATCAACACAGTAATAAAGGTAGATAATCTATTCCATTCCTTTAGCTGTATTAAACTCATGCAATAATGAACACGTTTCAATTGCAACCTTCAATGTTTGGTGTTCTTTACATGATAAGGAGGCAATGTAGACTGGACAGGCTCTACTGTGACTGTTAAACCTTAAAGTTTGTAACATTTGGTGGCCTTCGTTGGAGGAAACTGTCGTAATATAATTAAAAGAAATCACATTGTCAATTAATCTACAAGTCACAGCATTTGGTATTTGCAGCCATGGTCTTCTAACATGTACATCAACATCCTTACATTACATCATCCTTTCGTCCTCCATTCACCACCTCTTAGGAGGAAGTTTCACGCTGAAAGCTTCTTTCCTAGAACAGCATCATTATGGAATAAGCTACCACGTGATTATTTCCCATATGGGTATAGCCTTAAACACTTCAAGTCTAAGGTCATCAAACATCTGTCCCCACAGGTTGTACAGTAACCCAAAGCATTTGAGTGGATCTCATGAGCCTTGTTTTTGTGTTGATCATGAACCATGAAGTAAATAAAAAAACAAGAACAAAGCCCAGAGAATAATTGGAATGTGTCAACCCAAGGAGAAGCATCTAAACCCTTAGAACCTGTTCAATAACCTGTTACTGTAATATAGACAAGTTTACAACACATCTAATAACAGTACTACATGTATGTGTAAGACTATCGTTACTGCCCTACCTTCACAGCCATGACCGTCCGCCATCAACACGAAGCCCTGCATGCATGAGCAGTTATAACTTCCTGGGACTTTGGTGCAGTTTTGGGCACACCCACCGTTGTCTGTTGCACATTCATTCTCTGCAAAGGGACAGTAGCAATCTTTAAAAAAAACGACATTATACGTTACACACCAATTTAATTTGTTGTTTCTCTGATTTTGTTCAGAAAAAATATGAAGCAAGTGGGCGAAATAAAAAAACAGGCCAAGGCACTCCATGATAGCTGGGAATGTTACGATATGAGTCATGAAGTGGCAACTAATTCAATCTGATGTTTCTCGGATTTTTTCAGAGAAACAAATACGAGGCGACAGGGTGAAATTTAAATAAAAAACATGTCAAGATATGATATGCCATGATAGCCGGAAATGTTACGATATGAACCATGAAGTCAACATACCAGGCTGGTTTATAATTAAGACAGTTACTGTAGATTTTGAACTTTTAATGAAAAGAAGTTGCATTGTTACATTGAAAAACTTTAACAACTAGGAAGGACTTTCTCCAACTGTTGGAGCCAAAACATGTCTATCATTGAGGATTTTGCAGTTGATTCAGAAGTTAAAATCTTTTTTTTAAATCAAAAACAAATGGACAGGCGAACCCAAGAAACAACAAATTCAATTTGTGTGTCCTAAGGGAAAAGATTTGGAACATTTTCCTGTTGTCAAAAGGAAATCAGCCACAACCATCTAGACATCCATACAACTACTTGCTCCCCCCCCCCACACACACACACCCATCCGGTTTTCTAGAGTTTTGAAGTTCTGAACTCAGCCAAGTACGGCTGGCAAATGCATGCAGTTCACACAAGCTCCATGCTTCAGTAGAAAGAGCCTAACCTCAGAGTGTAATAGAGTTTGGCAATCTAATACCTCAATGAAATGTTTAGTGCTTTAAAGTTTGTAAATATTATGCATGGTGATGACCAACTGTAAATGGCTCCATTGAATACATTTTAAAATACTGCTCATTAGCAAAATTCTCATGCAAAGTATTCACATGGCCCCTACCTGGTAACATGCAACACACTGGTAAAATCCTTATCAAATTGTCCTAAACATTGCAGTATTATGAGAGATGAAGAACGTAATGACGAGAGGTTCTCCACCACACTTCAATATGCCTGCTGTGCTCCAGGTGCTTTGTACAACTAAATACTACTATGGCGGCTCTTACTTCAGAGGGTAGGATCGGTGATGTTCTTTCTGTGTTTTGTTCACGTGTACTGTTACTCATTGGTGTACTCCGGTACTACTTGCCGTATTAGTATTCTGTCTGATGCTATAACGTTATAGGTTTGTGTAGAACTTCTTGTACCTTGCTATCATCCTGTCAAGATTATGGATGACTGTGCCATCTTCCTTGAGAGTTGTCATCTCACTCCTACCTAGGACTTGCTTTCTTCTGACAGACATTAGACCTCTGGAGGTTTCTAGTGCTTCTTACTGCTCCTTCTCGTTGTAGGCTGTAATCTCTTGTGCTATGTTCTTCCTTATGGACTTGCAGATTCATGTACATTATGTGTATTCACGGTTTTGTGCATTTGTTCCACCTCTCTATGGGGCGTTTTTCTCTTAGCTGCTTTGTTTCTTCATTAATTTTATACATCGAACAGGGAATGTTAGTGGCGTCGTGTGGTGTAGTGGTACATCACTGGACTATGAAACGGTAATGGTACATCACTGGACTATGAAACGGGGAGACCCGGGTTCGATTCCGGGTCGTACCCGAACAAGTCTGAACATGCGCCCCGGCGTTGTACCCTTGGGAAAGGTACTTTACACGACTTTCCTCACTTCACTCAGGTGAAAATGAGTACCTAGCTTCGGCTAGGGACGTCCCTCGGATAGGACGTTAAATGGAGGTCCCGTGTTTGGGAGAGCCACACCCCACGCACGTTGAAGAACCCACCGCACTTATCGAAAAGAGTAGGGGACCTTCCCGGTGTGAGTGGTACAAACCTTACAGTCTGGTCTCTGGGTTGACAGCTTTGAAAAGGTGATAGTCACCTGTTATGTCAATCTTTCCACAAAATGTGGTAAATCTTCATAAATATAAATAAATATAAATTCCAAAGTGTGGAAAATATCAGACTGACAGAGTGTAAACAGTATCTCACCTGTACAGTTGTGACCGTCTGCCATCAACACGAAGTCCGGTCTGCAGATACACCTGTGGCCATTTCGAGTGTGGATACACTCATGGGCACAGCCACCATTTGCTGTTCCACACTCATTATTGCTTACTGAAAGTACGGAGAATAGTTAGACATACATTTATTGTAACCAGCTGGTGAAATCTGTTCCATCCTCGAACAAAGAATCACAACAATACTTCAACTAACTCGAACAAAGAATCACAACAATACTTCAACTAACTAACTAACTAACTAACTAACTAACTAACTAACTAACTAACAAACTAACTAACCAACTAACTAACTATATATATATATATATATATATATATATATATATATATATATATATATATATATAC